GTTCTGTCGGTGTCAGGTTTTGATTGTAGAACAATATTTCTAGGAAGATTAAAGCATAAAATAGTTATCATAAATGCATATAAAGAGACTCTAAAAAGGAATACCATAGGGACACCGGAAAATAGGACAGCTAGTGTATATGTTAAAGAGGATTACAGCGAAAGGGTCAGAAATTGCAGGAAGAAACTGGGAGCTTTTTTAATGAAAATAAAAGACGAAAATCCTCACGAGAAGGTATCTTTAAGCTATGACAAACTGATCTAACTTAACCGAGCCTTTGTTTACAATGAAGAACTGAACAGTATTCTGGCTTGTGATGGGAAAGGTGTTCCGCATGAGCTCACCATTGAACAATAGGGGTGTGGCCAAGGCCTGAGTAGTACATCATTTATTAACACTTTTTCACTATTTTCACTAAACATTAACGGTCTTAAAAGGCATGTTAATGAGAATTTTGTACATATGTTATCGCAATGCGATGTAATTAATTTGTCAGAAACATGGTGTAAGCACTTAACTGAGTTCACAAGCCTATTACCAAATCATGAAGCATTCTCACTTGTCAGAGAATACAGGGGTAAAGGTAGATTATCAGGGGGGATTATTGTATATATAAGGAGAAACCCATTGTTCATTTATTCAATCGAATAGAACATAATTTAGATAACGGTATCTATCTTATAGCTAAAACCCCAATAAATGTTACTCTATTCTGTTTTGTCTATATACCACCCGAATCTTCCGTGTATACTAATCCCAACGAGCCAAATGGAATTGTGAACTTAGAGAACAACTTGTTGTCCATAAAATCAAAATATTCGTTCAATGATATAATAATAGCCGGTGATCTTAATTCTAGAGTAGGTTCAGAACAAGACTTTATATTGGACGATTCTGTTGATTATTTATGCTGTAAAGATAATTATGATGTAAATACATTTGATATTATCAGAAAGTCTAAAGACACAGTCGTAAACAAATATGGCATCTCGCTTTTAAATATGTGTCGCGCGTTTGATATTCACATTCTCAAAGGCAGAGCTGGTATGGATAAAGAGGGTAATTTCACATTTATATGCCATAATGAGGAAAGTGTAATTGACTTTGTGATAGTCTCAAATACAATCTATGAACGTATCACCAAATTTGAAATCATGTCCTTTTGTGAATCTGATCATTTCCCAACCCTTTGTGAATTAACCTACAGCACCCACACGATTGATTATGCCATTTCAGAAGAACAGGTTGTCGTTCACAAGAAATTCCGATGAAACAATTCCAAAAAATCTACATTCCTCCAAGCTTTGTCAAACAATGAAAATGATTCCAGACTATTACAAATTCAGTCAAAACTTGGCGATAGCCACATTGATGAGGCGGTAACTAATCTTACCGAAATTTTACAGGATGCAGCAGACTCAATGCAGACCAAACATACGAGTGTCACAAATTCTAAAACTCAACCACATTGGTGGAATCACGAGTGTGATGTTCTAAAGACAGAGAAATACAAGCTTTTAGACATTTTTAGAATTACCAACTCCACAGGTGATCTAAACAATTACAAAAAAGCTAAAAGTAAGTTTAAGTTAGCTTGTTCGACTAGAAAGAATCAACATGAAGTACACAACCCATCACCTATAATCCCGACTAACACTAATGAATTATGGGCAAGCGTTAGGAATTACGTTAAGTCAAGTAACATCAAACCTAGCATAACATCTGCAGATTGGTTTTCTCATTTTGAACGATTACTGAATTCCAACAAATTTAAAACTGATGAATCTCTCGATGAGCTTGCTAAAAAGACGATTGCTGAACACATACCTGTCTTTGACGAGCTTCTGGACTCCGAAATTGGTGTCTCTGGGATACGAAAAGCAACAACTGAACTCAAATCAGGAAAAGCATCTGGACCAGATGGTATACTAAACGAGATGATCAAATGTGCTTTAGAAATTTTGCTACCGACCCTATTATTACTGTTTAATCAAATCTTACAATCTGGCCAATTTCCGATAAGCTGGGGGAGAGGCAGTTATTCAGCCTATTAATAAATCGGGAAGTATTCATGATCCTGGAAATTATCGTGGCATATCTCTTTTATCTGTGATAGGTAAACTTTTTACGAAAATATTAAATACAAGATTAACGAACTGGTGCCTAATTAACGATAAATTATTTGAGGAGCAAAGTGGATATAGAAAAGGGTATAGCACGGTTGACCAAATCTTCACTCTACAAGGTCTTATACAAAAGTACGTCACGAAACCTCGAGGTCGTCTGTATGCCATATATGTTGACTTTTCCAGAGCTTATGATGGAATACAGCACCATAGATTGCAATATGTGCTACTTAAAAACGGCATTAATGGAAAATTGTTCTGTGTCATCAAATCAATGTACCAACAGCTAAAATCATGTATACGAATTGATAAAACTAGAGTCACGGAGTTCTTTAAGTGTAATATTGGTATTAAACAAGGGTGCATGATTAGTCCTTTATTATTCACTTTATTTTGAAATGAATTAGTCGAAAAGTTACGTGTTAGGATGCCAAGGTGTTTTTGTAAACCAATCTATTGACAATATAATATCACTATTATATGCAGATGATATCGCTGCTGTAGCAGATACTGTGGCAAGACTTCAGTTTCAAATTGATTGCATACATAATTTCTGTATAGAATACGGAATTAAAATTAATCCTAATAAAACTAGAATAATTGTGTTCAGACGTGGAGGGGTTATAAAGTCGTACGAACGTTGGTATCTCGAAGGTAAACAAATACAATGTGTCAATCATTATAAATACCTGGGTATCTTCTTTACTCCGAAAATATGTTGGATTCTCGCGACTAACACCCTCGTGCAACAGGCTAGAAAAGCAACGAATATGCTTTATGTTACATTGTTAAATGTGACATTGGTGTAAAACAAGCCTTGTTTTTATTTGACCGAATGATACTACCGATTTTGAGTTATGGTTCATGAGTTATCATAAGATCGACTCCATTGAAAAACTTCATTTAAAATTCCTAAAATCCATCCTGGGTGTAAATTCAGGTGTCTGTAATGCAGCAGTATACGGTGAAACTGGACGATTACCTCTTTATGTACATTATCTGTGTAGTTGTGTCAAATATTGGCTAAAGGTGCTGCATTTACCGGACTCCAGATATCCAAAAGCAGTTTATGATATGCTATATAAGCTAGATCAAGCTGGAAGGTCAACTTGGGCTACACAGGTTAAAAAACTTCTTCATGAATACGGATTTGGATATATATGGAATCAACAGGGTGTATGTCAGTGGTTTCTTATCATCATTTAAACAGAGATTGTCTGATTGTGCTCGTCAAGAATGGGCCAGTGAAATTGGAAGAAAATCGAAACTTGATAATTACAGATTATTCAAATATGATTTACTCTATGAAAATTATTTATCTGAATTGATAATTTATAAATATAGGAGATCTTTAACGAGATTTAGGTGCTCAAACCATGACTTAGCCATTGAAACGGGGCGCTGGGGCAATATAGCCAGGGAAAACAGAATATGTAAATATTGCCAGGTAAATCTCAATATATCTGTAATAGAAGATGAAGTCCATGTTATTGTTGAATGTCCTTATTACGATAATTTTAGATCAAATTTACTCCCAAATATTCAAAATCAGAAACTTTATAAAACGAGTAAGAGTATTTTTATAAACATCATGACAAATAGGAATATATGTAAAAACTTAGCTATGTTTACTCACAATGTTTCCTTGTATCGTAAAAATTTATAAATCAAATGAATTATGTATAATACGGTGATTCTGCTATTTATTTTATAACCTATCTTGTTGTTTTGTTATAGGTTAATATTTATCATTATGTTGTTCACTCTACACATTGCACGGTTAATTATTTGATATTGTATATTTTACCAAATGTATTTAGATGTACTATGGGCCGGAGGCCTAGATTACTGAAATAAAAATAATAATAAAAAAATAATAATTTCCTTCACTTTCATCTTCTTCCAAAAGTAGTAGACCAGCAGCTGCTGTAAGATGTACGTTTTGCAAAGTAAGGTTCCTTTCTTCAAGGTCTCTGGAGTTCATCATTTTGAAGAGTTGCCGACGGAATGCACCATATCCCAATATATTTCCTTTATATTTCTATGAAGCGTGCCAGTGCGTGCCACAAAATGACTCACAAAATGGTCACGCATGCTTAAAACTGAGTACACTAGCGTAACCAATACCTGACAGTACAGGAACTGGCGTATCATAACGCAAGTGCGCGGTCACCTGCGCAAACTGTGCGAAAACTATCCGCAGATATTGCGTACTGTAAAGGGACAATGATGGACGATGCGAGACACATGAGAGACAACTAACATGGTACGAATGCGCAGCAGTGCGGACAGATTTTGCATACTATGAGCAAAGGTTGGTCAGCAACGGCACGAACTATTTGATTGACAGGTGATATCCATCCGTATTGGTAAGCATTAATGATTGCCATTGCGAATTCAAAATGCGTGAAAGTGTCAATGGGCCGAAAATCACGTGAATGTGATAAGATTTTATCGTTTTTAAGTGGTTCATTTTAAATTTGGTATGAGGCACTGGGCTCAGAGATTTTCAGCATTCTATGACCTTCTCTTCCAGAGACATATTATATGTCTGGAAAAGCTTGTGGTCAACATCCAAGTTTTCTTTTCTGTAAAGCTACTGTCTACGGTTTTATTTTGTGTTTGAAACATGGCTGCTGTGTCGTCGTATTTAAAAGCTTCCCGCTGCTATCTTAATGTAATTTAGACGAACATGCTTTTTGGTAAGACTTTTTATCTGTATATTATGAAAGTCTGTAGCCCTACTTGTCTTTAACCTAACCCTTAATATACGTATGTCTTTAACCTAACCCTTAATATATGTATTTGATTATGCAATATCTGGTGTATTCACTTTTACACGCTGACTGGAATATAAATATGATTTCTTTGTAGTGCCGTTGATACTTTATTAGTATGCATTGACACCACAACTTCATTTTGCAACGCAAGTGCAGCAGAACAGCTGAAGTCAACAATCACAACGCTGGTGGAAGAGTACAAAAAAGATCCATTCAACTGTAACCAGTGTACGTATAGTCGGGCAGAACTATGGTAGAACCTGGAAATTGTATACAAAGTTTTTTTTATGGTGTCCTCTTTCAGAATCTGCCGGGTGAACCTCGGTCACCCTTGAGCGTTTTGAGAAATTCAAGATGGCGTCCAATACGGCCGCCACATCAAATAATCCCCAATAGCTACCATAGTTAGGGTGACCCACCATAAATAAATATCTCGACAATTTCGCCACAATATTTATATATATGCCAAGCCTCAAATCAGTTTCACACAATTATAGTCACTAAATAAACGATCATGTTGTACTTAATAAGCTATGACCATTAATCATCTATAAATAATAGACTGAAAACTGGTTCCATGTGTCGTCCATAACATCCAGACACTTTTGAGTAAAAGATAGGTTACGTGCCCTTGTTTTGAAATTAGTCTCGCTTAACCAGTCTATCGACCATTCTAGGGCTGATTGACAGGTCGGGATAATCCAGACTACTTTTTTACGAAACATAACAGAAAGCTAGAACAAGAAATTGAATTTAGAAATGAGCACGTTAGCTAGCTCAACAATTGTTTTAAGAAGCTTGTAAAAGTAAAATGAAACTACTGCTAGTATCATGTTCCTGTCTAACCCGAGTGTTTCTGAGATATTATTTGTACTAAACCAAAAGATGCCGCTCTTAACGGTACAGTTAATGATAAAGCGATTTAAAAAATGAAACGAACGTAATTTCTAAATCTGCTGTAATAACCAAGAAGCTTAATTTTACTGCTATTCAAAATCGTCAACAATAATTTTTTTACGGTTGTAATAGTTGATAGATTTGTAGAGAATTGCACGGGCCATGGCTATTTATAGTATCATACTGTCAGAAAGTTGGCCTCGACACGGCGAATGTGCCCGCTTCAGTGGTAGTCTCGAACTATCAGCGGTTGACTGTATTTCTGTAGGTGCGTGGGTCACACTACCATAGTATTTATTTTAGGATGATAATTTTGGTTTCTGAGGTTAAGGAATACACTAAAATCATTTATTATGTTGTGTGGTGATTAGATGATAGTAAAATCAAACATGCCAGACAATATGCCCCTTTAACTCGTTAGCAGCGGTTGAGGGCGATTATTTCACCGTACCAAACTATATCTAGAGACAAACTATATATTTCTGGTCATAGGAGCGTATGAGGGATATGATAACACCACATTACACCCCTATCAGGGGCTCCAGGGCCACATGTGTCGGTACTGAAAAGGGAGACACAAGCTGTTTATTGAAAATTTAAAAAAACAAATTCTACCCGCAAAACAGAAACATAACCACCACAAAACTAGGTAATATCCAGTTTAATCGTTTAGTCGTGTTTCTGGCTGCAACCTGTGACAGCACAAGCGCAAAATATTGTATATTCTAAGCCATCCCTACCTAGTGCAGCTACAAGCACACGTACTACATGAGCTGCCACTCTTGTATCCACATCTGATGAGCCACATGGCAGACTCCGTCCGGAGCAAGTTTACCGGTTGTAATGTTTTCAATTTAGTGTCCTTCTCCCAGCAATACAGTTCCGGATTAAGTTTAGGTGGATTCCGATCTTCCAGTGAATGCCACTCAATAGCTTTGCGATTACATATTTTTACGTTCGCTACACATGCATAATTCGTTGGAGCTAGACTACATTGTTTAGGTGGAGATGGTGTCGATACATTTCCAGTTTGGGATGTCTATACCCCCAGTGTGTTCCAGTCATCGATTTCCAAAAGCCCGGTCCATATCAAGCTTACAGTGAAATCGCCAATCGAGGAAAGAACAATCGTTGACATTGGTCAAACTACGAAGAAACACATTTCAATTATCATTGAAATCCTGCCAGCTCATGCTCTTACTGGATGTGACACGATTACATGCGGCTACGCCGTGGGGAAAGGAACAGCTTTGAAAGTGGTTAGAGCTTGATTGTATTCTCTCTCACTCGTCGGGGTAATAGACACGCCAATAGAATCATTGCTTACACAGACCACTGTATTTATGTCAGCTTGTTATGGACATGGTTCTAGAAATATGTGTCTGAAACACGCTGGAGGGTGTGGACATTTAAAACTGGAAATGTATCATCATTATTCCCCACCCAAACCATGTAATCTTGCTCAACGATTGATACATTTGCAGAGAAAGTAAAAAGAGCTCATCACCAAGCTATTGTGTGGCGTTCACTGGAAGATCGGAATCCACCGGAACTTGATCTGGAACAGTATTGCCTGGAGAAGGATACCAAATTGAGAACATACAACCGGCCAATTTGCTCCGGAATCTGCCATATGTAGATGCAAGAGTGACAGCTCATGTAGTACTTGTGCCTGTAGCAGCAATATGGATGACTTAGAATATACAGTATTTTGCGCTTGTGTTATCTCAGGTTGCAGCCACAAACACGACTAAGGGATTAAACTGGATATTACCTAGTTTTGGGGAGGTTATGTTCCTGTTTTGCGGGTAGAATTTGTTTTTTTAAATTTTCAACAATCAGCTTGTGTGTCCCTTTTGAGTCCCGACCCATGTGGCCCTGGAGCCCCTGATAGACATGTATATGGTGTTATCGTATCACTTCCATGCACCTATATTCAGAAATATATTATTTGTCTCTAGATATAGTTTGTTTTGGTGAAATAATGGCCCTCAAAGGCCGCTAACAAGTTAAAGGGTCATATTGTCTGGCATTTTGAATATTGCCATCATCTAATCACCCCACAACATAATGAACGATTTCAGTGTATTCCTTGACCCCAGAAATCTACGGTTAGACATCAAAATTATCATCCTAGAATACATACTATGGGAGCTATAGGATGGGATTTGATGTGGCGGCCGTCTTGGACGCCATCTTGAATTTTTCAAAACGCTCAAGTATGACCGAGGTTCACCCGGCAGATTATATAAGAGGACACCCTAGGCTACTAAAATCAATCATAAAAAAAAACTTTGTATACAATTTCCAGGTTGATTTGAAATATTCGGTTTGGTGACCGGACTACTATATAGGCTTTCTTGATAAGAGTTCTCTTCAGCTAAAAGCAGATTCTTTAATTTATAGATTGTTTAATTAATACATTTCTGCTTTACAGTCAAAACTACTACACCGGTGACTTCGACGTCATATCCTTTACTTCCAACTGGTAAGTTGATTTTATTTATCTCATTCACAAGCATGTTTAGTTTTAATTTTATCTCCAGTTTTATACGCCCGTATTTCAGTCTGGGCGCGTTATGCCATAGAATCAGTTTAGGAGCTGGCCCTGCAGTATGTTACGAAAATAGCATCTTTAGCAAACCATATTTCATTTAACACCATATTTAGACCCTATCATGAGCATTTATATCTGCTCAAGACTAAAGTTATTCCATCATTCGGTATTCGCATACAACCCCTTTTGTCTGAGGCTGGTATGAACCTTGAAAGTATTGCGATGCGAACATCCCTTACTTTAGGACTCCACCGTGGGCTATATCTCCTCCAAAGATCGTTTTCGATTTTACGCAACATAAAAAGAGAGATACTAGCTCCATGGCGATTTCGAGAGCTACATAAGGTCTAAATATGGTGATTAGGCTCTAATTTATACAGATGGATCGAAAGCTGGTGATCGGGTAGCTACGGCTACCGTGACACCATTGGCGACCATTTCCCTTCGACTTCCACCTGCTGCTTCCATCTTTTCAGCTGAGCTTCAGGCCATTTTTCAAGCCTTGAATTCATTCAGTCTTCATCACAAGTAAAACACATATTTTCGGATTTTTTGTCCTCTTTACAAGCAATTAATAACTAACAGCTTGATCACCCATTAAAAGCAGACATTTCTTGTCTGCTTTTATCTTACGAGTTAATCAGCAAGGACATTGTTCTTTGCTGGCTCCCCAGTCATATGGATATCAAAGGGAATGATCAAGCAGACTCGGCTGTCAAGTCTGCTTTAGATCTTCCCATATCCGAATTTTTAACACCATTCACCGATTTTTAATCATATATAAATCAATTTGTAACATGGACGGGAAATCTTCCTTTGTTCTTTTCGTTGATTAACTAGACATGTTCAATGTTATTGCTCTCTTTTGCTGGTTTACACTAGTTTTAGTAGAAATCATATAGAGAAGTGGGGTGGGTTTTCTGTGCAATAACAAAAGGCATGTTGATCAGGTGTCAATGTTACAAGTCATTTATAGCACGCTTCATTCATTCATTCGAAAGCCGTAAATATAACTTATATTCGGCCGATGGCAACGGTATTGGGATCTTGCAGACACAAATAAACTTCATCCCATCAAGCCTCTCTAAGATGACTGGCCAAGCTTCTATAGTACGAGCAGGAGAGATGAAGTTGTCTTGTGTCGCTCTCGCATAGGTCATACGTTTTTAACTCACATTTTCATCTTTAAGAGAGAGCCTTAACCAGCATGTGAACACTGTCATGTTCCTATGACAGTGAAGCCCATTTTGATTTAGTTGGAAGCATCTCAAACATAGAAGATCAAAGTATTACCGTTGCCAGTCACTACATCAGTTGTTTGCCCAGCCGGTTCTATATTGTAAAGCGCTAGATTTTTAAAAAGAAACAAATTTTTATAGAAAATTTTTTGTGTATTTAGCTGATTTTCGCTTTCATGTTTTAAATATATATACATAAAGTTTGTGATATTTTTATATATATATATATAAAACGAATGATATCAACTTAGCTAAAACCTCTCCTTTTTTGATTGCTAAAAGCTGGTGAGCCCAAAAGCGTAAAAAAATGGGAAATGGTACTCTGTTAGTGGAATGTGCTAAAGAATCACATGCTACTTCATTATTAAAATCAAAAACATTCCGATCAAAGTTGCACCGCACAGCTTTCTTAATTCTTCAAGAGGTGTTATTCGGTCTCAGGATTTAGAAGGCAGCTGTGAGGAAGAGATGCTTGAAAATCTCGCCTCACAAGGTGTTACATACGTCAAACGTATTTCCATCCGACATAATGGGAATATTATCCAAACCAACACCTATATCCTGACCTTTTATAAACCAGATCTTCCTAGGATGATCAAAGCTCGTTTTCTTGCCGTACCAGTTACCCCTTACATCTCAAATCCATTGCGTTGTTTTCATTGTCAACGCTTTGGACACAGTAAGTAAAAATGTATGTAAGGGGAAAGCGGTGTGTGCTCGATGTGGACAAGATGGTCACGAAAGTACATCTTGTCAACTCGATCAACATTGCATTAACTGCAAAGGGCCTCATTTAGCTTATTCTAGAGAGTGCCCAATATGGAAGAAAGAAAAACAAGTTCAACAGGTCAAAACGGAGAAAAATATATCGTATCCGGAAGCTAGGAAGTTGTGCTGCAAATGCAGTCTAGCCGAAGGCCACTTCTATTGCTAGCCAAACGCCTGTTGAATTTCCAGCCGCGACAGAAGTTTCCTCGTCAAAAGAAACAAAACCTCATATTCTTCCAAAACCCGCAATTGTAACCCTCAGCACTCAGACTGTTAATAACTCCTCTACCAAATGTTGAAATCCACCCAAAACCAACAAGATCAAGGAACGTTCTGATAAAAACGTTCCTCGAAAATTAAATACCTCCCGTAGTAGGAAGGGTGACGAGTATCCTGTCCTAACCTTTAACAGGTTCGGGATTCAGGACAATCTTATGGATGTTGTTGGAAGTACATGACCCCTAACAACATCATAGAAGTCAAGTTAAACCTCCCTGAAAATGGAATTGTCGTGGTCTTAAACATAATTTTAATGAAGTTCAAATTTTAATTCAAAAAGAAACTTTTTTAAAGAATTCAGATATCTTATCTCTCAGACATTTTGTTGCTTATCATCATTTTGCTAATAATGATGGTAGAGCACGCGGTGGTGTTTCCATCGCCCTCAACTCGCCTTTGCAGGCAGTTGCAGTTAGGGTGACTCTACATATTCCTATCACAATCTGCTCTGTATATTTACCACCAAGTCTACATCTGAACCCTAGAGATCTTGATGACCTTGATGCACAACTTTATTATTACGGGAGATTTCAATGGTCATCATTCACTCTTGGGTAGTCTACTCTGATCAATCGGCTTTGGTTGTTTTAGCTCTGTAGAATGTACATTTTACATTTCCAATGCTTTGTTGATTTTTAAACTCAGGAAGTTTACATTTGTGTCCTTAGTACATTCTACAGAGCGGCGGCTAGGGTCAATCGGGTTAGATAAGTATTGAGGCCATGCACCGGATATCACCCAAACCCCAGTCAATAACAAACAGAAACGTCCGAAACTTTTTTATTAACCCATAGAAAAGTTTAAAGGCATGGCCGAGGTTTCTCTTAATTGAGAATTCAGATATCTTATCTCTCAGACATTTTGTTGCTTATCATCATTTTGCTAATAATGTTGGTAGAGCACGCGGTGGTGTTTTCATCGCCCTCAACTCGCCTTTGCAGGCAGTTGCAGTTAGGGTGACTCTACATATTCCTATCACAATCTGCTCTGTATATTTACCACCAAGTCTGCATCTGAAGCCTAGAGATCTTGATGACCTTGTTGCACAACTTTATTATTACGGGAGATTTCAATGGTCATCATTCACTCTGGGGTAGTCCACTCTGATCAATCGGCTTTGGTTGTTTTAGCTCTGTAGAATGTACATTTTACATTTCCAATGCTTTGTTGTTTTTTAAACTCAACAAGTTTACCTTTTTGTCCTTAGTACATTCTACAGAGCGGCGGCTAGGGTCAATCGGGTTAGATAAGTATTGAGGCTATGCACCGGATATCCCCCAAACCCCAGTCAATAACAAACAGAAACGTCCGAAACTTATTTATTAACCCATAGAAAAGTTTAAAGGCATGGCCGAGGTTTCTCTTAATTGAGAGTCCCTCTACAGACCTTTCAATAACCAAGGGCATTGCTGGCTTGGAATTCTCTTGATAGAATGTGCTAAGGAACAGCATGCTACCATGCTGATTAAATCAACATCCTTAGCAGACATACCTATCAAGGTTTCACCTCATAGGTCATTGAACTCCAGTAGAGGCGTAATTCGCTGTCGGGATCTTGAAGGCAGCAGTGAGGAAGAAATGGTAGAATACCTTTCTTCTCAAGGCATGTCACATGTACAAAGAATTAGTGTACTTTGAGGAGAAAAGATGATTCCTACAAACACCTATATGCTCACGTTCAATCGTCCCGACATTCCATAGACTCTCAAGGCAGGCTATCTTAACATACCCGTTGATTCGTACATCAGTAACCCACTACGATGTTATAAATGTCAGAAATTTGGACATAGCAAAACCGCCTGTAGAGGTAAGGACACCTGCGCTCGCTGTGGTCATGATAGCCATGAGAGCACCACCTGCCAGGCGGATTTGTGTTGTATTAATTGCAAGGGTAAGCACTTTGCTTACTCTCGCGAATGTCCAATATAACAAAAGGAAAGAAATAATTCAACAGGTAATGTCTGAGCGTAAAATACCATATTATGATGCTCGAAAGCAAGTAGACTTAACTGCGCTTTCCCGTTCCATCTCAAGGGAAATCTTTTGCAAGCGCAGTAAAAGTATCTACCAAAAGCATCTCTGTTCAGACAGATATAACCTGGCCAAGTAAAGGGAAAATGTCTATCATATCATCAGATCATGATAAAGGGGTATCGAGCGCCTCTCAAACAAAAGAGAGCTCGATCGAAACTATTTCTTTGACTGGCGAGGGTTCGTCCTCCTTGCCTCAATCTGAAGTTGTTGGGATCGTTCCTAACACTTCCTTCCAGAACGGCAAGGTGTCATCTCCCTCGCCTCCCCTTGAAGCTGTCATCCTTGATTCCAGTTCTACTGGATTAGGATCGCAGTCAAAGGGTAATCAAAGGAAGAAAATTTAGCAAAGTTTCGAGAGGGAGGGATCTGTCTCTCTCTATAATAGATATGGGGATGATCTGATGGACGGTATTGCCGTATTGGATGTCCATAAGGACCCACGTGGTAAGCCGTCAAAAAATAAAATTCCCTGACAATGTTAAATTACATTATTCAATGGAAATTTTTTAAATGAAGTCCAGTTATTAATACAAAAGCACAATCTTTTAGCTATTTGTTTACAGGAAACTTTTTTTTACGGAATTCTGACACTTTGTCTTTTAGACATTTTGT